TAAAAATTGCCTAGCGACTCCCATGCTTCTTACGTCCATTTCGGAGAACCAGTACAAATATTTAAATCGATCGCTCAGGCATTTAAGTGGCACCGAAATGAGGCACCGAAATCTGCGTTCTGATTCGGTTCTAGTACATACCAGTTACATCACCGGGTTTCGGTACCCAACCCTACTTCCGAGTCTACAATCCGCCACACCTATTCAAACAGAGCGTTCTGATGAGGGGGGTTAAATAGGACAGAAAATACCCTATTACTTCTGAATTATTATGTTTTGGCAGCATAATGACATAACACGTCTTGACAACATTTTAAGTGGACCTCAGAGAACAGCACAAAACAGTAAAAAAAAGGCAGTTCATGACCCCTTTAACATTTTGCAGATACTGCAGAGTGTATTTAAAATTTTGACTAAAACTGTAGATGCTAAAATGAACAATTAATTTGTTTAACAGAAAAGTGTTGAACCAACATGGAATAGCAAAGGCATACTACACATTAAGCAAAGGATATCAGCACAAGTTCACTTAACAAAATGAATATTAATATAAAAAACTAATATAAATGTACTATTTATAAATATAAATACCATACTTTGATATATAAAAAATGACTATCCATAAGAAATCCTGAAAAAATGCATCACTGCTTCAATAAAAAATATTAAGCAGCACAACCTTGACAATAAATTTAAAACAATTTTCACCAATGAAAAACTGCTTCGAAACCAAAACTGAGGTCACCGAGGTGTGAATTAAGCTGATTAAACATACCAGACTCTTAACTCTTTATCACTGTGTTTATTTTAGACAACTTTTGTGTCTTTAGGAGGTCTGAAATTACTGATATCTAAAAATAAAAATGTTCAATACCCACTTCCAATAAGCCTATAATGTATTGTGCGCTTGATCGCCAAGCACTTTATGCTGCCCTTCGAACTATGAATATACATGTACAATCCCTATAATTTGACCTCTCATTTAAGATGGACGAACACCCTGTTAAGTCTACTTCACAGGGAGCTACCAGCCAAAAGGAAACGCACCCCAAGGCTCATCCTGTCTTCTCTGTACAAAAGCTCTTTTTGCAAACTCAAGCTCAGCTCTGTCAGCTCTCATCCATCTGACTAAAGCAACATCACAATGTGATGAACTGCAAAATGCTGAAGAGCAATGAAAACACAAGCATACAGTATGCTTCCCACTGGCCTGCTTTGCAACACTGTTTTGTTGTTTTATGAATCTATATAAATGCACCAAAGTCTCCTCCTGATGAAAGAAGCAACGAAATGACTTTGACAGCATCCATCCTTGAATCACATTAAAACAAAGTTTTCAAAAACATGTACAACTTATTTAAATTATAAAATGGAACAAAGGGTAGCTCTTTGCATAGAGCTGAAATTCTCCTGACAAGCAAAGCTGCTCAATGTGCCATGAATGACAGCGCAGCCTAATTTAACAAGCTCCTCATCTCAGCTGGGGTAAGAGAGTTTTAAAGAACAGAGAAACTTTAATATTTCTGAGAATTATGTTAACATGTCATCAGTACGACACTGGGCCTTGTCAATAAAATATTACAGCAAGTAAATAAGATGTACATGCACTTCAAAGTAAAGATGAGTAGTAATTAGCCAACATGCAAAAGAGGGTTGTGCTTACACATCACATCAGGCCTAACTAAAGGGTTAAAGAACATGGTGCATTCTCACCTCACCTATTAGTGTGATTTGCACTTGCACATTGCTTATTAAGTGAAAGTCTCAGAAATGTATATAAGTATAACCTTAAAATCGATAATGACAGTTGTTTACATTAATTCATAAGATAGACCTACTGCTAATGCACATTACACTACAAAACATCTCACCAGCTATGTTTTCAAACGATTTTTTTCAGCAGATTTATTAAAAAATTAAATAAAATAAAACACTGACAGACAACTTTAAAGTCCTCAACAATTATGTTCACAGGACATGCGCCGCTTTTATTGTAAACATAAGGTATTACAAACAACAACGTTTATTGGTGTGAACGCTTATTTTTACAGTTATCGTATCATTCTTGGTGAGAAAGGGCCAAAAAAACTAGGTTATGAATACCATGAGTATGGTTCTGCAGCGAATTGCAATGTCAAGAATAGCTTAGAACATTACAGTGTGTACACCTGGTTAGTCTTTAGCTAGCAACGTCCACCCAATCATAAACCAAACAGCGCTTACATTATTAAACATTTATGTGTTTTGTATAGTCGCAGAAACTTCCAAATGCCGTTTAGATTCAGTGTCTAGCTTTCACATTTTTACTAGTGCTATCAAATGATTAATCGCGATTAATCGCATCCAAAATAAAAGTTTTTGTTTATGTAATATATGTGTGTGTATTGTGTATATTTATTATGTATGTATATATATACACACACACACACACACACATACAGGATATATTTGAAAAATATTTACATGTATTTACATGTATATATTTATATTTGTATAATTTATATATCATGGGGTTGCCGCAAGCCCTCCGGACACTCCTTCGTCGAATCCGCCGACCGTGCCGTTCTCAAGCCCTCCGCCTCTGCTCACTCTAGCCCCCGGCCTCTGCTCACTCTAGGCCAGACCATATGACCCCTTTAATATAGAAATATAACATATTTTTCTTAAATATATACATGAATGTGTGCATTTATATATACATAATAAATATACACAGTACACACACATATATTATGTAAACAAAAACTTTTATTTTGGATGCGATTAATCGCGATTAATCGTTTGACAGCACTAATTTTTACCACACACGCGTTACCAAAACAGGTCGCGTGCACAACAACTTCTGATCAAAATCAGCATTACTGACTCATGAATATGCAAATAAGGAAGTTCTTCCGCTGTTTACCAATTGTACAGTACAGTGTGAAATTTTCAAACATGATGACTACCCATGATTCATTAAAGGGGTCATATGGTGCGATTTCAATTTTTCCTTTCTCTTTGGAGTGTTACAAGCTCTTGGTGCATAAAGAAGATCTGTAAAGTTGCAAAGATTAAAGTCTCAAATCCAAATAGATATAAAACGGCTCGTTCTAACACGCCCCCACATATCTACCTCACTATGTGGGAAGATTTGCATAACGCTGCCCAAATGTTCACGCAAAGAAAGAAGGCGTAACTTTTATTCTCGCTGTAGTATTGTT